TTACACCCCTACTGACTAGTCTTCCAGTCCCTGCCGCTGAAAAACATCCCCACAGCATGATGCTGCCACCACCATACTTCACCGTAGGGATGGTGCCAGGTTTTTCCCAGGTGTGATGCTTGGCATTCAGGCCAAAGAGTTCAATCTTGGTTTCATCAGACCAGATAATCTTGTTTCTCATGGCCTGAGGGTCCTTTAGGTGCCTTTTGGCAAACTCCAAGCAGGCTGTCATGTGCCTTTTACTGAGGAGTGGCTTCCATCTGGCCACTCTACCATAAAGGCCTGATTGGTGGAGTGCTGCAGAGATGGTTGTCCTTCTGGAAGGTTCTCCCATCTCCACAGAGGAACTCTGGAGCTCTGTCAGAGTGAACATCGTGTTCTTGGTCACCTCCCTGACCAGGGCCCTTCTCCCCCGATTGCTCAGTTTGGCCGGGCAGCCAGCTCTAGGAAGAGTCTTGGTGGTTCATAACTTCTTCCATTGAAGAATGGTGGAGACCAATGTGTTCTTGGGGACCTTCAATGCTGCAGAAATGTTTTGGTACCCTTCCCCAGCTCTGTGCCTCGACACAATCCTGTCTCGGAGCTCTACGGGGAATTCCTTCGACCTCATTGCTTGGTTTTTGCTCTGACATGCACTGTCAACTGTGGTACCTTATATAGACAGGTGTGTGCATTTCCAAATAATGTCCAATCAATAGAATTTACCACAGGTGGACTCCAATCAAGTTGTAGAAACATCTCAAGGATGATCAATGGAAACAGGATGCACCTGAGCTCAATTTCGAGTCTCATTGCAAAGGGTCTGTTTTTTATTTTTAATACATTTGCAAACATTTCTAAAAACCTGTTTTCACTTCGTTATTATGGGTTATTGTGTGTAGATTTGATCCATTTTAGAATAACGTAACAATATGTGGGAAAAGGGAAGGGGTCTGAATACTTTCTTAATGTACTGTATATCCCTGTCTCTGTCTCTGTCTCTGTCTCTGTCTCTGTCTCTGCCGCTGTCTCTATCTCCCTGTCCCCTTCCTTAATTCCTTCCTTCCTTCCTTCCTTCCTTCCTTCCTTCCTTCTCTCTTTCTTTCTATTTTTCTATTTTTTCCCCTCTCTCCCCCCTTCTCTTCCTCCCGCGTCGTGCTACGCTAGCAACTCTCTACCCCAGGTCATTAACACCAACATTAAGTGCTCGGTGAATCCACAGCCTCTCCATCTCCTCTTTGCCTTTCTGCTTCCCGCCCGTAAAAACACAGCTACCATAATGACACTGCCACACTTTACAATCAGGGACAAGGGAAACAGGAGATCAATCTCCAATATGAAGGGCAAAGAAGCAAAGCTATTAGGGATGAGTACCAAAGCAAATGGGCTTGCGTGTTTTCTATTTCTTCATCTTGATAGAAAATGAAGCTATGAATGTGTCTCTGTTGATAGGGGAGCACAGTCTGATGCAACCCCTTGGTGTCATGATTAACAGTGTAAGTGTTGAATTGAAGAGAAAGAGGTACGGTGGAGTAGTAGTGAGGAAAGAGGGATGAAGATGAAAAGGGAAAGAAAGAGGGATGGCGAGAGAAACAGAGTGATATTGTTATATTATATTTATTTGGCAACAGTGGTACCCATTCTTTGTCAATAAAGCTTATTCAAATGTAATTCATTTGGTAGAGTGAACCAATAGGGAAGGGATGGAGATATGGACAAAGAGGAAAAGAGAAACAGACAGAAAAGGTTTCGAAAAATAGAGGGAAACAGGGATAGAGAGAGGGGCAGAGAGAGGGACAGAGAGAGGGACAGAGAGAGGGACAGAGAGAGGGACAGAGAGAGGGATAGAGAGAGGGATAGAGAGAGGGACAGAGAGAGGGAGAGAGAGAGGGACAGAGGGAGGGATAGAGAGAGGAATAGAGAGACAGATGGAGAGAGGGATTGAGAGCGAAAGCACTCCACTCCTCCTCATCACACCTTGTTTACCTTGACTCTAACATCCATAATAGATTTCAGCAACATACGTCTGTGCTCAGGCTGTAACGCATGTACTAAATATATACAGCGTGGGACCTGAGATGTTATTTAACAGACTAGGCCTTGGGCCAGGGGAAATGGATGCAGATACTAGAGAATTCCATTATCACCAAGGTGACAGGTGATGATTCCTTTTCTATTTGCATCCACTCTGAGGTCAGAGGCGATGCCATGGTGGAGTGCAGTGGGTGGAGAAGATTAAATATCATATTATATGATCTAACAGTCATAATAGAAGGAGAGGATAGAGGAAACATATAGTATGCTTTGATATTGAAGTGTTTACTATTAGTAGACCAGCCAACGTGGAAAAAGTGATTGGATTTCATCCAGGTTTGATCAAACAATGTTAGGGTGGATGTCATCCTAGATGGCCATTTTCAAGGGGTCAAAGGTAAAATCTGGTTAAAATATGCTCAACTTTCTTCCCAGAGAAACAATCATATCTGTGTTTCTGCATGTCTACTATAGAGGTGTTATACCTATGGAAAAGTAATTAGATCATAGGACAGATATGCATAACAACTGAAAGGTGTTTAAAATGACAGCCATAACATCAATTTCCATGATCCAGACCTTTATTCCTCATTTTCATAATCACTGTACTAATGTTAATGTAGCTGGCACACAGACTACTATGATGAACTCATGCACCATGCTATCTAGGCCATTCATCATGAGTAAGATTATATGGATGGGGGGGACCTGATCCTAGATCAGCACTCAAACTCTGAGACACTTTTTTAATAGGTGCTCAGGTCTCTAATTAATGCCAAATCATCTCAAAATGGGGCCTCAAGAAAAATCTTGCCTTCAGGCCAGCATTTAGTCTGCGGCCCACTAATTGTAATTCAATAGCACATAATCTTGAATTTGTTAAGCACTACATTCTATTATGTGCCAAGTCAGTGCCTAGTCACACCTAGGGTTGTCTATTTTACCTAGTCACAACTGTCACTAGTTTCATGCCAAAACATTGACAACAAATACATAGACATAGTAAAATAGTGTAAAAAAAATTGATAAGGGATATTTCATGCTAAAACCCTCATATTAAACACCTATGGTAAATCCCTCTCTCTGGTCCTCTGTAGCTCAGCTGGTAGAGCACGGCGCATGTAACGCCAGGGTAGTGGGTTCGATCCCCGGGACCACCCATACACAAAAATGTATGCACGCATGACTGTAAGTCGCTTTGGATAAAAGTGTCTGCTAAGTGGCATATTATTATTATACACTGAACAAAAATATAAATGCAACATGCAACAATTTCAAAGATTTAACAGAGTTACGGTTCATATAAGGAAATCAGTCAATTTAAATAAATTCATTAGGCCCTAATCTATGGATTTCACTTGACTGGGAATACAGATATGCATCTGTTGGTCACAGATACCTTAAAAAACAGGTACACTCTTAGAAAAAAAAGGAGAAACCTTTTTGGTTCCAGGTAGAAACCTTTTTGGTTCCAGGCAGAACCCTCTGTAGAAAGGGCGCTACATGGAACCCAAAAGGGTTCTACCTGGAACCAAAAAGGGTTCTGCCTGGAACCAAAAAGGTTTCTACCTGGAACCAAAAATGGTTGTCCTGTGGGGACAGTCGAAGAACCTTTTAAGGTTGTAGATAGCACCATTTTTTTCTAAGAGTGTAGGGCCGTTGATCAGAAAACCAGTCAGTGTCTGGTGTGACCATCATTTGCCTCATGCAGCGTGACACATCTCCTTCACATAGAGTTGATCAGGCTGTTGATTGTGGCCTGTGGAATGTTGTCCCACTCCTTTTCAATGGCAGTGTGAAGTTGCTGGATATTGGCGGGAACTGGAATACGCTGTCGTACACGTCGATCCAGAGAATCCCAAACATGCTCAAAAGGGTGACATGTCTGGTGAGTATGCAGGCCATGGAAGAACTGGGAAATGTTCAGCTTCCAGGAATTGTGTTCAGATCCATGCGACATGGGGCTGTGCATTATCATGCTGAAACATGAGGTGATGGAGGCGGATGAATGGCACGACAATGGGCCTCAGGATCACATCACGGTATCTCTGTGCATTCAAAGTGCCATCGATAAAATACAATTGTGTTCGTTGTCCGTAGTTTATGCCTGCCCATACCATAACCCCACTGCCACCATAGGACACTCTGTTCACAACATTGACATCAGAAAACTGCTCGCCCACATGACGCCTGCCATCTGCCCGGTACAGTTGAAACCGGGATTCATCTGTGAAGGGTACACTTCTCCAGCGTGCCAGTGGCCATCGAAGGTGAGCATTTGCCCACTGAAGTCAGTTACGACGCTGAACTGCAGTCAGGTCAAGACCCTGGTGAGGATGATGAGCACGTACATGAGCTTCTCTGAGATGGTTTCTGACAGTTTGTGCAGAAATTCCTCGGTTGTGCAAACCCACAGTTTCATCAGCTGTCTGGGTGGCTGGTCTCATTCAATCCCGCAGGTGAAGAAGTCAGATGTGGAGGTCCTGGGTTGGTGTGGATACACGTGGTGTGCGGTTGTGAGGCCGGTTGGATGTACTGCCAAATTCTCTAAAATTACGTTGGAGGTGGCTTATGGTGAAGAAATGTTCATTTAATTTTCTGGCAACAGCTCTGGTGGACATTTCTGCAGTCAGCATGCCGATTGTACACTCCCTCAAAACTTGAGGCATCTGTGGCATTGTGTTGTGTGACAAAAATAGTGGCCTTTTACTGTCCCGAGCACAAGGTGCATCTGTGTAATGATCATGCTGTTTAGTCATCTTTTTGATATGCCACACCTGTCAGGTGGATGGATTCTTGGCAAAGCAGAAATGCTCACTGACAGGGATGTAAACAAAATTGTTCACAACATTTTTGAGAAATAATCTTCTTTTTTTTAGGGAGAGAGGAGAGAGGGGAGAGGGAAAGCGAGCGAGAGATAAAGCAGACAGAGAGAAACTTGTTTTTGTGACCACCTCTGCAGCAGAAGTTACATGCATGAAGTGATGTTATAATACAACGTTAAAGCTCCTGCTCACAGATCCTACCGGTAAATCATTATTGTAGATCTCAGCACAATCTTCATCCCTTTCATTATCAGGTTGTTTTACCATCCAGTTGGCTGTGGTCAGAGGGGTACCGTCCACCCATTTCCAGGTCCCCTCTCTGTCTTTGTCAGTCTGTCCAATCCAGACCCTCTTGTTCATCATAGTGAGAAAAGTCTGCTCCTCTTTGCTGTTTATGATCACCAAATCTGCCCCTTTTATCAATGCAGTGTTGTCTGCTCTCATCCCAGGATGTTACCTCAAATGAGATGTAATACAAACTGGACTGAAACTGCATAGAACTTTCTAGGATAGACAAGCTCTTTTGAACTCCTGAAGCCTGTCTCTGTCCCTTCCAACTGATATCTCTCCTTGGTCAGGGTGTTGTAGCTGTCATGAATCCCGCTTCCTGAGTCTGTTTCTGCCTGAGTTGCCTGTTTTCTGTCTTGGAGTCTGTTTCCTGAGGGTTCCTGAACGCACCCTGTCTGGTTGCCGGGCGACGAAGCTAGGCGGGAGATCTCTCGATTACCCGCACCTGCAACTCATCAGCTATCTGCACACCTGGTCCTGATCACCACCTCTTCACTTCATAAGCTCTGACCTGACATCCATTCTCTGCCGGATTGTTAGCCATGAACAGTATGTTGTGTCAGCGTATCAGCCTCAGGTTTTCTAGAGTTAGTTTTGTGGTTTTGTACTTTTTGCTTGCCGTGTACAGTTATTCTCCCGGAACATTCACTCCACCCTTGCCTGGTCGTCGGTGGGTTCTGTAACATCATTGGATCTGCCTATTCACTTCCACAAACTCACCTCCGCTGCCCGCTCCATCTCCTGAATTATCCTGTTTCCACATTTGAGTCGTTAAATAAATACTCCCCTTCTGTCTACTCACCTTGTCCTGGTCTGCTTCTGGGTTCTGCTTTAGAGAATCGTGACAGTAGCTGGTCTCTCTCTTTAGTCATGGTGTTTTAGCTGGTCTGTAGCTGGTCTCTCTCTTTAGTCATGGCGTTGTAGCTGGTCTGTAACTGGTCCCTCTCTTTAGTCATGGTGTTGTAGCTGGTCTGTAACTGGTCTCTCTCTTTAGTAATGGTGTTGTAGCTGGTCTGTAACTGGTCCCTCTCTTTAGTCATGGTGTTGTAGATGGTCTGTAACTGGTCTCTCTCTTTAGTAATGGTGTTGTAGCTGGTCTGTAACTGGTACCTCTCTTTAGTCATGGTGTTGTAGATGGTCTGTAACTGGTCTCTCTCTTTAGTAATGGTGTTGTAGCTGGTCTGTAACTGGTCCCTCTCTTTAGTCATGGTGTTGTAGCTGGTCCCTCTCTTTAGTCATGGTGTTGTAGCTGGTCTGTAGCTGGTCTGTCTCTTTAGTCATGGTGTTGTAGCTGGTCTGTAACTGATCTCTCTCTTTAGTAATGGTGTTGTAGCTGGTCTGTAGCTGGTCCCTCTCTTTAGTCATGGTGTTGTAGCTGGTCTGTAACTGGTCCCTCTCTTTAGTCATGGTGTTGTAGCTGGTCTGTAACTGGTCTCTCTCTTTTGTAATGGTGTTGAAGCTGGTCTGTAACTGGTCCCTCTCTTTAGTCATGGTGTTGTAGCTGGTCTGTAACTGGTCCCTCTCTTTAGTAATGGTGTTGTAGCTGGTCTGTAACTGGTCCCTCTCTTTAGTCATGGTGTTGTAGCTGGTATGTAACTGGTCTCTCTCGTTAGTCATGGTGTTGTAGTTGGTCTGTGGCTGGTCTCTCTCTTTGGTCAGGTTGTTGTTTTGTTGCTGGTCCCTAGTTAGTTCTTCTCTTTTGTTAAGTTGGCTTCATAACTATTCATGACTCGGTTGCGGTAGAAATCTAGGCCTACGATCCCAGCCAGTAAGAGAACACACAGCAACCCCCAACACACTGCAGCATCTCTAGAGGGTTGCCTACCTGAGCTATCGTAAACTGATGGGTTAGCGCCTGGTCTGCCCTTAGAGGTGACATCCTCTTCAGTCTTGTCTCTTGAGTCTTGGGAGACGACAGTATCTTCATTGATATCATCATCTCTGAGTCACCTTCTAAAATGCTGGCAATATTGGCATAGATATTCTCAGACATCTCCGTGATCTACCACTGTCTCAATTACTGCTACCAGATGTTCTAGCAATGTTTGGTGTATGTTGTAAGAAAGCTGAGTCCAACATTTTATATATGTGACTGTAACAACCAATGGACAGGAAGCTACCATTCGAGGAAGACAATACAAATCATTGTGTATGATTGGCTAGTGAATGCATAGCCCCAGAAAGTCTGCCACTAATAGCTTGCTGTGGTTTGTGTGAAGTGAGATGAAGTGACTAGAAGACCAGCAGGAAATGACACTTGCACCTTTGCATTTGTCTCTTTTGAAAGTCTCTTCAACTTCCATGGAGCATTTTTATAAATGTGAGCAGCAGACCCCTAAATACTGTATCACTTCACTCTGGAACTGAAGATTTAATGAGAGGTACTAGGCCTACATATTGTTAAACTGTAGAGGTGTTTATACACTGCTCAAAAAAATTAAGGGAACACTAAAATAACACATCCTAGATCTGAATGAATGAAATAATCTTATTAAATACTTTTTTCTTTACATAGTTGAATGTGCTGACAACAAAATCACAAAAAAATGATCAATGGAAATCAAATGTATCAACCCATGGAGGTCTGGATTTGGAGTCACCCTCAAAATTAAAGTGGAAAACCACACTACAGGCTGATCCAACTTTGATGTAATGTCCTTAAAACAAGTCAAAATGAGGCTCAGTAGTGTATGTGGCCTCCACGTGCCTGTATGACCTCCCTACAACGCCTGGGCATGCTCCTGATGAGGTGGCGGATGGTCTCCTGAGGGATCTCCTCCCAGACCTGGACTAAAGCATCCGCCAACTCCTGGACCGTCTGTGGTGCAACGTGGCTTTGGTGGATGGAGCGAGACATGATGTCCCAGATGTGCTCAATTGGATTCAGGTCTGGGGAACGGGCGGGCCAGTCCATAGCATCAATGCCTTCCTCTTGCAGGAACTGCTGACACACTCCAGCCACATGAGGTCTAGCATTGTCTTGCATTAGGAGGAACCCAGGGCCAACCGCACCAGCATATGGTCTTACAAGGGGTCTGAGGATCTCATCTCGGTACCTAATGGCAGTCAGGCTACCTCTGGCGAGCACATGGAGGGCTGTGCGGCCCCCCAAAGAAATGCCACCCCACACCATGACTGACCCACCGCCAAACCGGTCATGCTGGAGGATGTTGCAGGCAGCAGAACGTTCTCCACGGCGTCTCCAGACTGTCACGTCTGTCACATGTGCTCAGTGTGAACCTGCTTTCATCTGTGAAGAGCACAGGGCGCCAGTGGCGAATTTGCCAATCCTGGTGTTCTCTGGCAAATGCCAAACGTCCTGCACGGTGTTGGGCTGTAAGCACAACCCCCACCTGTGGACGTCGGGCCCTCATACCACCCTCATGGAGTCTGTTTCTGACCGTTTGAGCAGACACATGCACATTTGTGGCCTGCTGGAGGTCATTTTGCAGGGCTCTGGCAGTGCTCCTCCTGCTCCTCCTTGCACAAAGGCGGAGGTAGCAGTCCTGCTGCTGGGTTGTTGCCCTCCTACGGCCTCCTCCACATCTCCTGATGTACTGGCCTGTCTCCTGGTAGCGCCTCCATGCTCTGGACACTCGCTGACAGACACAGCAAACCTTCTTGCCACAGCTCGCATTGATGTGCCATCCTGGATGAGCTGCACTACCTGAGCCACTTGTGTGGGTTGTAGACTCCGTCTCATGCTACCACTAGAGTGAAAGCACCGCCAGCATTCAAAAGTGACCAAAACATCAGCCAGGAAGCATAGGAACTGAGAAGTGGTCTGTGGTCACCACCTGCAAAACCAGTCCTTTATTGGGGGTGTCTTGCTAATTGCCTATAATTTCCACCTGTTGTCTATTCCATTTGCACAACAGCATGTGACATTTATTGTCAATCAGTGTTGCTTCCTAAGTGGACAGTTTGATTTCACAGAAGTGTGATTGACTTGGTTACATTGTGTTGTTTAAGTGTTCCCTTTATTTTTTGGAGCAGTGTATTTTGACAAATCAAACGCAATGGTAAATCTAAGCTCTGGCGGTAGCGCTATAGGTCCGGGGTGTGTCAGGAATATTTGTTCTATTTTCACAACCATTATTATGGTCGCAATAGCTGCCGGTGGCACAAAAGGGCTGGGTTTTGATGAGTGAACAAAGTATAGGTGTGACGAGGGCTTGGCCACCCACTGGCCAATCAAGGCGTTCCATGGCTTAATACTGCATGCATTTGTCTCAAGTTCTGTAGGTTATTGACGCTCTTTGTAATAATAATAATATGCCATTTACCAGACGCTTTTATCCAAAGCAACTTACAGTCATGTGTGCATACATTTTTACGTATGGGTGGTCCCGGGGATCGAACCCACTACCCTGGCGTTACAAGCGCTGTGCTCTACCAATTGAGCTACAGAGGACCGCTTTGCATTGTCATCAACTACAATTCGACTGGGGGCACGGAATATTCTTTTCCTAGTCCATTGTGGATTGATACTACAGTTTATTAAATAGCATAGGCTACAGTAAGGAGTTATAGCAACCGTAAAAAATATATGCTTGGAGTGTTGCCAGTCAACATTGTTGTAATTGGCTTCAACAAGTATAGGCATTTACGCATCAAACTTCTTCTTAAATAAAATATAATAGGCTCCCACAAATTGTATTGTATGTGTGAGGCATGTTCTAAATAAGCAAGATATAGCCTAGGCCTACTGTTGATATGGCATTATACAGAACATTTTTAATTGCCTAGGTATGGAGGAGCGAGTATTTGGTAATCGGACGAAAGGCGCTCTTTGGAAATGGGGATGGATAAAAGCAGAATGGAATATGCACTGCAGGTAGGCCTATGTGATTTGTGAATAATGCAAAAGCATGTCGGCAAAAGCCTCAGGAGTAGACCATTATAAGGATAAGGAAGACACCAGATGCATTGCTGTTGAACCAGCTTTCATTATAGTAGGGTAAGGGTAGCCTACTAAGGGCTTGTTTTGTAATCAAGCGAAACAGAAAAAAAGCAATTGTTGCAGTAATATAACTTAAAATATTTCGAAATACGCGTCACTGGATTATGTAATCTACCTTTCAATGATGGGCATATACAGTAGCCTACATGAGGGTTTTTTACGCACATCCAAAATAATAACAGGAGCTGGCTAAAATAATGTAATAGACTACATAGATAAAAAGGGGATGTCCTCACTGTTCTGCTGCCAAACTTGATATTTTGCTAAAACTTTGATGATTAAGATTTATTTCAAGGGTAGCTAAAGGCTGGGACTAAAAACAAACAAACGATAACTAATGTAAAATATACTGTCCATTAAATGTATGTAGTATGTATAAGCTGGAAATTGAAGCCTAAGTATTGTTGTTCATTTGTTTACTCCAATTAGGGGAGGGGTGGTAGGGTTAGGGGAAAATAATAAAGAAGGAAAATATATTTAATTAGTTTATTCCAATTAGGGGAGGGGTGGTAGGGTTAGGGGAAAATAATTAAGAAGGAAAATATATTTAATTAGTTTATTCCAATTAGGGGAGGGGTGGTAGGGTTAGGGGAAAATAATAAAGAAGGAAAATATATCAACAACAAAAACAATATTTAAAAGAATATATATATTTACATAAAAATATATATGGTGGATTTGGAAATGATGCGGACAATTACATTGATAGAAGCCACAATCTATCTGCAATATTAAAGCTGATCTACCACCTAAAAATATTTATTTCAAAGCGGTCTCATTAGCCAAACTCTTTATCCATAGTCTTGACTACTTGGCGAATGCATTGGGCATGACAAAAAAAAAACATCCTTCATTGAGAGGAGGGGAGGCTATGCTTGGTTTTTAATCAAATTAAACGAAATGGGAAGAAAAAAAACATTAGTTTTTTATGTTTTAAAATATGAGGTTTACGGGCACAAAAAGCACAGCTCTCTTGTTCCATGTGGATATGGGCACTGTGCGTCATGGCTGGATAGGCTACGCTTCCGTTGTCAAAATCCATGCCATAACCAACCATTTCTTCCACTAAGACCAGCTTTCGGTTGGTCTTAAATATCCCCACCAGCGCTAATTGAAATTGGCAATTTGGCGCACATTTTTAAGGACACCTCAGATATTGCCACCCATCCCACCTCAGCACAAGCAAGCTCATATATATAAGATAGGTAAATTACCAATCCTGGCGCTACGGTTCGAAGATAGAAGAGCGCCGGCTTTAACAGGTCGAAATTTCAAACAAGCTTGCGTTTGACAATTACGCTGGCTTAACGCCAGCCGAAAATAGAGCCCCAGATGTTATTATTTCATGACGTTGTTATTCACATTTTTCATCAGGCAACAAAGACACCAATTTACAAGATACAACAATCAATAGTCTAAATTAATCTAAATTAATTAAGTAAATTAATCAGGTAACTAAAAATTAACAACACAAGCATGCAATCTAATAAAATTAAATAAATCTAAACAAGATAAATCCCACACAGACAAACGGAGTAAGATCCATTACATGCATCACAATAGCAATACACATGAACATGGAGTGATGTATGCTAACATTTCCACGCCCTCTGATATGGCTATAGGTATTTCTCACGTTTTGCACAATATCTCTCCAAATACTTGCTACATTTGAAGTAAAGGCCCTCGCAGGCTCAGGATGTCCTGAGCTGACAGTACTACATTGCTATATCTTTATCTGATGCTGTGTTAGACATAACCACTGGTAGAGGGGGAACTGACTTTTCAAGAAGTCGGCGCCCGCCTAACCACCAGTTTGTGAACACAAATAGAAAGGAACAGTCTTTACATTTCTGCATATTTCTTTGAAGCTTTCTTATCAAATGTCTAAATGATTGCTCATATCAAAAAGTCATCCCGCAAGCGTAATTCAGGGACCACATCTGCTACATACACATGCATTAATATAACACTGTTAAATGACTATCTCACAGACCCAGTTACAATGAGCGGCACATGAAAAGTAATTCCATATAAACTCAGGAGAGTACTCAGCACAATCCTCCTCCCCATATGCTGGATCCCCACCACCATTATCAGGTTTTTTTCCCAACCAGTAGGCTGTGGTCAGTGGGGTACCATCCACCCATTTCCAGGTCCCCTCGCTGTCTTTGTCAGTCAGGCCAATCCAGACCCTCTTGTTCAGTATAGTGAGAAATGTCTGCTCTTCTTTGCTGTTTATGATAATCAGATCTGCTCCTTTCTCAATACAGTGTTGTCTGCTCTCATCCCAGGATTTGATCTCAGAGGAGATGTAATACCAACTAGACTGAAACCGCATCCAGCCTTCAGGCCCAGTTTGTTTTAAGGCAGAAAATCTATTCTGAAGTCTCTCTCCCTCTTTAACAGGTCTCTCTCTTCAGTCAGGTTGTTGTAGCCGGTCTGTAACTGGTCTCTCTCCATGGTCATGGTGCTGAAGCTGGTCTGTAACTGGTCTCTCTCCATGGTCATGGTGCTGAAGCTGGTCTGTAACTGGTCTTTCATCTTAGCCAGTTTGCTGTGACTTCCCTTCCTTTAGTCAGGTTGCTGGCTTTACAATCCTCAAACCCACTGATGACGTTCTTGTGGTGGAGACCCAGGCCTACAATCCCAGCCAGTAGGAGAACACACAGCAGCCCCAGACACACTGCAGCAGCTCTGGAGGGTCTCCTACCTGTGTTATCAGATCTGCCCCTTAGAGGTGGCATCCTCCTTGGTCTTGTCTCTTGAGTCTTGAGAGAATATGGCATCTTCATAGATATTCTCATCTTTGCTTTCCCGGCCTATATTGGCATATTTGTCCTCTGACATCTTCATAATCTACCACTGTCTCAAATGCTACTACCTGCTACAGAATATGTTCTAGCATGAATGCTGTGTTGTGTGTACGGAACGTTGTATAGGTGTCTTACCACCAATGAGCATGCCACACACATACATAGCAAAAATATGTATGTGATTGGCTGCTTATTAGGTCTGAAAATAAGACAGCAACCAGATTCCTATATGTGTGTTATCATTTTACCTGTCTATCAGCAGCTGTTTTAGACATAGCCACTGGTAGACAGGGAACTGTCATTTCAGGAAGTCAGTTGAGTCTGTTGCGTACTAGGCATACCTGTTGTAATATTCTAGATGTGACATAGGGCTTTTACAACCAGATTTGTGTAAATGTTTCATGTCCAACATATTGACATTTTTCATTATGTGACAAAGACAACAATTGACAAGATACATCAATCAATAGTCAAGATAAATCAATCAGATTGCAACAACTAATGAACAAAAAACAAGCAACCTAAAAAAGCGCAACAAATACTTCTCCGGGATGCCTGCAAAGCAGACCAAACAGACCAGCGGTTTGGGAAGTCAATGGGAGGACACGTGCAGTCCGACGCGACACGACCTTTAAACCTGATGATGCGTTTATGCGCATGAGCTTAGCTAGCTAACATCACCCTGACATCACCTACAAGTGTGATCTAGGATTTCTATTAGAGAAGCAGTTCCTGGACCTCTTAGTATACTCTCTTTGGTTATAGGCTTTGGGCTTCTGAGGCAAGGTCATTAATCAGCTGTGGATCTCCTGAAAGTTTGGATCTGTAGTACTGTATGTGTGGGAATTAACAAGGACATCCCTCTTTTCTAAAATAGCTAAGGTAGTTGTTGTAGTTGCTCAGTGCCCCGTCTCTTTCACCTTTCATGGCGTTGTAGTTGTTCTGTAGCTGATCTCTCTCTGTTGTCAGTTTCTTGTTGCTAGTCTGTAGCTCATCTCTCTCTTTAGCCACAGTGTTGTAACGGGTCTGTAACTCTTCTTTCTCTATTGTCAGGTTGTTTTTGGAAGCTTTATAATCTTCAAACCCAACGACGACTGTCTTGTGATAAAAACCCAGACCAATGATCCCAGCCAGTAGAAGAACACACAGCAGCCCCAGACACACTGCAGCAGCTCTGAAGGATCTCAACCCCAAGCTCTCCGAACCTGAGGGGTTAGATCCTGGTGTTCTCTTTGAGGTGGCATACTACTTGTGGGAGTTGATGATATCATCATAGATAACCTCATCTCTACTTGTTGCCCTTTTATTACAAAACATGTTCTCTAGAACAATGTCCATGTTGGCATAAATGTCCTCCGACATCTCCATTGTCTACCACTGTCTCGATTACTACTATCACTCTGTCTACTACAGAATATGTTCTAGTATGAAAGCTGTATCGTGTGTATGGAACCTTTTAAAGGGGACTAACCACCAACGGGCATGCCATACCAGGCAGACAATGCAAGAATGTGGAAGTGGCTGTGGTTGGGGGTATGGAGTGAGCAGACCTGGATATTAACCTTCCTCTTTTTGTTTCTTCAACGTCTCTTTAAGTCTCTTCAAATTCTTTGTTCTGATCATTGGTGCTCAAAATGATCAGAACTGAGGAGATCTGTAAAATATTAAATCACTCCATTCTGTTATTACCTGTACTAATACTGTATACTGTACAGTATGTGTTGGTAGATGGGGAACTATCATTTCAGGAGGTCAGTTGAGTCCAAATTAAGTGTCCATAGAAAGGATAGTTTTTTTCAAAACTGTTTTTTTTCGGTAGAAACCAGATCTCTCTATCTAATGCTGTTTTAGACATAACTGGAAGACAGGGAACTGTCATTTCAGGAAGTCAGTTGACATATCCTTGCCACAAGTTTGTCTTCAAAATTCAGAGTTAATTTCTCTTCAGCTGCTTCAAATGCCCTGATAGTTTCCTTGCTCATATATAAACTTAATGCTACTTTTTCATACTTTTTGCAAGGCAGGAAACTGTGAATTAAAATATAAAATATGGTTTAAGAAATGTGTTAACATAAACATTTGAGGTGATACTAGCTGAGTGTCCTTCTCTCTTGGCATTGGAGTGTCAAACACACTTGGTTACTGTTTTTGGGACTTTTCAAGATACTGTATATTTCTAACCAAATACCCCTGTCTCTGGTCTCTACTCTGTCTCACAGTGGGAGGAGGTGAGCGGCTACGACGAGAACCTCAACACCATCCGGACCTATCAGGTGTGCAACGTGTTTGAGCCCAGCCAGAACAACTGGCTCCTCACCACCTTCATCGACCGACGTGGAGCTCAGAGGATCTACGTGGAGATGCGCTTCACCGTGCGTGACTGCAGCTCCATCCCCAACGTTCCCGGCTCCTGTAAGGAGACCTTCAACCTCTACTACTATGAGACGGACTCGGTCATCGCCACCAAGGGAACTGCCTTCTGGATGGAAGCCCCTTACCTAAAGGTGGACACCATCGCGGCCGACGAGAGCTTCTCCCAGGTGGACTTCGGCGGACGATTGATGAAGGTCAACACGGAGGTTCGGAGCTTTGGCCCACTGTCGAAGAACGGGTTCTACCTGGCATTTCAGGACTATGGCGCCTGCATGTCATTGCTCTCGGTCAGGGTGTTTTATAAGAAGTGTCCCAGTGTGGTGCAGAACTTCGCCATCTTCCCAGAGACCATGACGGGTGCGGAGAGCACCTCCCTGGTCATCGCTAGAGGGGTCTGCATCCCGAATTCTGAGGAGGTGGACGTGCCCATAAAGTTGTACTGCAATGGAGATGGGGAGTGGATGGTTCCTATCGGGAGCTGCACCTGCAAAGCTGGGTTCGAGACGGATAACGGGAACGTCTGCCGAGGTAAGGAAATAACAAAGGAGTGTTCCCAAGAACTGAAATGGGTGGCAGTTAGCCTAACGGTTACGCGCATTGGGCCAGTAACCGAAAGGTTGTTGGTTTGAATCCCAGAGCTGACTAGTTGAAAAATCTGTCGTTGTGCCCTTGAGCAAGGCACTTAACCATCATTGCTCCTGTAAGTTGTTCTGGATAAGAGTGTCTGCTAAGTAAAAATGAAATCCTGTGAACACTAAAACTAGGGCCAGGATTTCTCTCTGACCACATGACCAGAGAAAAATGCCTGGCCCTAAACTTATAACATTTTGTATTTTAAGGTCTTTCTTTTGTAATGTCCATCACCATTCCCACAACCCAATGAAAAGTCCCGGGAACCTTGAAAGAACCAGATTTGGTTTGCTGCGGAATCAATATCACTGGATTTATTCTGAACGGCCGGCTGTTCCCGGTTTGGGAATTAGATTTGTGTTGAACCTCAGGCCCAGACTTGGGAATAAATCATTGTCTTTCATATTTTACCGCTTCAACGTGACTGAAGACTCGCAGTAGATGAAATCACACAGGCTCTATTGGAATTGATCTATTTTAGATGCAGTAGGTACATAAGAAGACATCAGAGCATTATCTTTATTGTAACAGGATGTTGCTCAGTTGATAGAGCATGGCGTTTATTTATTTTATTTTTTACATTATTATTATTTTTTATTTTTTTTGGGGGGGGGGGGGGGGATGGATCAGCTTAATATTTCAGATATATTGTATCTTCTATCAATGTAATTGTCTGCATCACTTCCAATCCCCCATGTTTTTTTTTTTTTTTTTATATATATATTCCCCTTTATTACATTTCAACCCCACCATCCTTTCCCTACTTGGAGTAAATTAGTGAACAACAACGCCCAGGCCTCTACTTCCGGTCTATACTTACTATCTACACCTTATGGACAGAGTTAATTTTACAATAATTCTATTATATATATATATATATATTATTTTTTTTTTTGCTCCTGAACTTCTTCTACTCTCAACCTCTCCGATCATTTTCATGATGTCCATCCGGTTTGCTTCTAAATGCCATATCTTTCTAACTGTGCTCTTTCCCAAAAGCTCCCAACATACAACCTATATACTTATTATGGACACAGTATGCTTACATTATTAGCTATCTTTGTTATTATTTGTTGTTATTTGTTATTAGTCCCATCCTTCAACTCTATTCAATACCTCCCATCTATCTCTTAACACCATCCATATAGGATTTCTATTTGCCATATATATTTCAACCGTACTGTGATGTTTTACAAAAGTTCTGAACCTTTCTATTCTCATTGCTTCTACAGATTGTGAATTAAAAATAAACATTTTTGCTAAAAGTATTATTATATTATTGATTGATTGACTATGACTTTTCAGATCACCCAGTAATGCTATCTGCAAGGTTAGTTCCAGGTAAATATTGCAATCCTTTAGCCATTCCTGGACCTGTGTCCAAAAACAAGCTACAAATGGACAGAACCAAAACAAATGATCTAATGATTCTGTCTCTTCACAGCAAAATCTGCAGAGCTGGGAAGATTGTATCCCCCATATAAATAACATTCTATTGGTAGCAAGAATTTTATATAATAATTTAAATTGAAAGATTCTAATTTTTGAATCCGGTGTCGTTTTGCGTGTCAGTTCATAAACACTATGCCATGGGATCGGTACGTCAAAGATCTCTTCCCAACTATTTTGCAATCTATATGGGACGGCTGTCAATCCTTTGGTCCTTAAGTGAAACTGATATACTTTTTTATTTATCACAGTTTTCCTTAACCAATTATGTTATTTAATGCAAGGCCGACAGACAAGTTCCTTACTTTCTCCCCCTTCAACTTTCCTCTTCCACTTTTGCGGTAAGGCTGCAATTATTTGGTTGTAATTTTGGGTAGAGCAGACATTTCCATATGTTTTTGTTAGCTGCATGTGCGACATAACTCCACCAGTCCTACCGATGATATCATTTACGAAGATTACACCTTTTTTAAACATTCTGTCAAAAAATAAAGGTTTTTTGTCAATTAGTATATTTGAATTTAACTACAATATTTGTTGCATTATTTGTTCTGTCGTTTCTGGAGGATTAAATTGAAATTGCAACCAACTTTCTATGGCTTGTTTTAGAAATAGTGACATTTGGGAGATTATTTCCTTTTCAAATAACTGAAAGTGAGAGGTTGTAATCTGAATAAAGGGAAAAAGGCCTTTCTTGAACAGTGGGTGAGACAATCTTACTAATTTGCTTGAGAACCAGTTCGGATTTAAGTATAACTTTTGGATGACTGAAGATTTTAGTGATAGGTCTAATGCTTTAATATTTAATAATTTCTGTCCTCCGAATTCATATTCATTATATAAATATGCTCTTTTAATTTTGTCTGGCTTGCCGTTCCAAATAAAATTGAATATTTTTTTCTCATATAATTTAAAAAACTGTTTGCTAGGCGTAGGCAAGACCATAAGCAAATAGGTAAACTGGGATAATACTAAAGAGTTAATCAGGGTGATTTTTCCACAAACTGACAGGTATTTTCCTTTCCATGGTAGTAAGATCTTATCTATTTTTGCTAACTTTCTATTAACATTTATTGAAGTGAGATCATTTATTTCCTTTGGGATATGTATTCCGAGTATATCCACATCACCATCAGACCATTTTATTGGTAAACTACATGGTAATGTAAAAAATGTATTTTTTAGTGATCCAATACGTAATATAGTACATTTGTCATAATTTGGTTTTAATCCAGAGAGGTTAGAAAATTTATCTAGATCCTCTATGAGGCTGTGGAGGGATTCTAGTTGTGGATCTAAAAGAAAACATGAATCATCTGCGTACAATGACACCTTTGTTTTTAAGCCCTGTATTTCTAATCCTCTGATATTATTATTGGATCTGATTTTAATAGCTAACATCTCGATGGCCACAATAAATAGATATGCCGATAGTGGATGTAGCTCAGTTGATAGAGCATGGCGTTTGCAACACCAGGGTTGTGGGTTCGATTCCCACAAGGGGTATGAAAAAAAAATAATGTATGCACTGACTGTAAGTCGCTCTGGATAAGAGCGTCTGCTAAATGACTAAAATGTAACAGCACACAGCCAATTTCATAGCTCTCTTCTTTGAAACCGCTTTGTGTGGCATATGGTATTGATTGTGTTTCATGCATTTTGCAGATCATGGTGCACTGTAATTCTCCTTCAGAGAAGCATGATAGAGAGGCATTATCATTCATTCCTAATCTGCTGAGACGGTGAGGGCTGCTGTACTAGAGATGATGAGTGATGTACAGTATCATTCTATGAAGATGTAAAACCACGTTTTATTTTCCAGGCTACTGTTTGTAAAGCAAGGCTTGGTAGAAGAAGAAATGTGTCTGTGTTGCCCAAAACAAGTATATAGTAGTTGTAGTTTGAAGTGAGCTACT